GAACACTCGTCTATGTAATTGACATCAAACAGAGACTGACATGAAAGGGCCACGAGGTAGAAGAAATCCTTGTTTTGTCCATTCTCGCCCAAACAGCACTGGTCAGTAATCCGGTCATCGAGTTCGGATTAAGACTCTCATTGTGGTCTGGCTTTCCCCCATCAGAAAATTAAACCAAACTGTTCAAATGGTCACTCAGCAATGCTTGAATTGGTATTCATTAGACTGTGAAATCAAATGCTAGGAATTAATGGCTGGCTTCAGACATCTTTGTCCATCACTACAGCATGAAATACCCAGGGGCATGATAGCACAGGAAATGAGAAGACCGTGAAGACATGATAGGGGTGAATATTAAAATACAGACCAGGTTCATATCCTATCTGATTAATAAAAGTCTGTAAATAATTTTTAATCTCTGATTAAAAATCAAATAGTAGACACATACAATGTTACATCAATATTGTTTGATTAGGACATGTTGAATACCCACAACGCGTGTCAAAGAAATAGCAGTACGTTATTCTCATGCCTTAATACAATGTTTGAAAATTCTTCTAAACTTGTAGGGGCTCTCTGGCTTCTGTTCTGCTTTTCATTATTGTGCTACTTGTGAACATATCAGCTCTTCTCTACTTTGAATTTCTTATTAACGACAAACTTAATAATCGACGCAAATCAATTAATACAAAAGGACAGACTTCAACAAAATGTTTAAAATGGCATATTTTGTACGATTTTCATCGTTTTGCGGAACGTAAAAGACAAACGAGGTTGTCGGTTGTCAAGTGTGAGATATATCATGTGCTGTGAACGATCTGACACCAGATGCCCAAATACTCCCGCCAAACTAGTATGATCATTATACCACCATCAAAACATCGGCCCCTTAAGTCGCGAGCTATTCAGAGTCTCGAAAAGTTGTAAACACGTGGTGTGAAATCTTAAATCCGCCATTGTCATGTTTCACATACAGATGTAAGACTCGAGGCCGACTTCCTATGTAACCTTCCCCTGTGGTTCAAGGTCAACAGATATCAAGTTGCAAAGGATATAGATATTTTAGCTTGATACTTTCTTTTACCAGATCAGTATTGCAGTTCAATATCAGGTAGAATGTCAGCGTATTTCGCCGCCTAAGAGCGGACTTTTTTCTTGAACTTTCGGTGACTCCCGTAAAAGAAAAAGGTCACCGATATTCCAGCAAATGGCTGAATAGTAATTACATTCGAAAATATTATGTTTATATAACTGGTTTGTATGTGGGATGTCTGTTGTTTTAAAAAAAGGAAATTATTAAAAACGAGAGAAATATACATTTTCCATTTCTGAGGAAACCATCTTACCTTTAAATCAATTAAATAGTTGTCCTTGCTGTATATTCCCAATATTTATTTAAATATATTTTACCATGCTGACTTATTTGACTAAGTGACAAATCCATATATATATGCAGATATATGATTATATATCCATGGAAACGAATAAAGGAACATATGAAAGTACAAATGTTCCTTTATTCTTTTCCAGGTTTCTTCGCAAGCTTTGTATTGCACTGTGGGCGTTATACTGGAAATAAATAAAGGAACACTTTTACTTTCATGTGTTCCCTTATTAGTTTCCATGAGTATATATCTGAACTAATGTCGTCCAAAGTTTGTTAACCACGTGTGGTTGGCCAGCCGATATGAACCTGGGGTCAAGAGTTTACTTATCTTGTTTGTCCAGTAGCGCTTGGACATGTCCAACAGGATGATGTGATTGTCGATAACGACGTTGTCGCCATACCCAGCGTGCAGATAATCTAAACTTGCATAACCTACATCGATAATACACACCAGCACTGGTCATTTCAATCAGCAAGAACGACTGTGCTAATCTCCGTACAACATGTTCTTGGTGTTAGTGAAGGACGGAAATAATTGTATCAAATCAATAGAGGGCAACAGCAGTGCTAATTTTCCTAACGTGAGGTCATATTGTCATACATCGTCCTTGTTAAGTTACGTGTGATGTGTGCTTTTATGTAATGAACCGAAATATCTAATTACCGGAGTCTGAATCTTATATAAGCTTGGATTACAGCCGCGTAAAACGTCACAGGAATGGTTCCAACTACTGACGTCAGTCTCCTCATGAGCAAATTACGTCATCGCATGACACACACACCCCTCACCCACTCCCTGTCCCAGTGACTGACAGACACTTCTCTGTATCCACCCTCCTCCCCTCACCTCTAACCCCATCTCCTCCCCCAACCTTCACCCATCCAGGCTCGGTACGCCACCGTCCGTTGACCCCGGTTAACCCTAGGTCATGACCTCAAGACTTTAGACTTCACCCCTACCCATAGTCCTTTGCGCGGGAAACAGTTTCCAGTTGTATCACTTCCTCTTTGTCATGGGATCTGCGTTCACGGTAGGTTTAAAACTGTAAATGTTGAAGTAAGAAGTGACATGTTTTGCCAAAAATTCTAAATACCCCTGGTGTAAAAATATATATATTTATAAGATTTAGCCAAGTAATTATTCGTACTAAATCTAAAAAGAATATTAAAAGCCGTATGGAAATTCTTTATTAACATATTGAATTCTTCTATGATCTCGTTTAAAGAATATGACATTTTGATTTAATACGTTGTGATGGTTAGATTTTAGATTTTAAATAATGACTTTCCGCGTTCATATGTCGTGTTACATATTCTTCACATTCAAACCTTGTAAATCTGAGCGCGCTTCCGGTTGCGACTGATCCAATATGAAACTTACGTTATGAGTTACATCTCTTCACCAGGAAAGTCACAGTCGTAGGATAGAACCATGTTGCTTATCTGCACGAGTCTTCAAACACCGCCCAGTCCTTCTCGAAATAATGAATTCGTGCTACTTCATGAACAGTCAATATGGTCTGAGGTCATTGTAACCAGAGATATTACAGGCATCGGGCAATTATCTGACTGCTATATTATATACCAGGTAATCATTTCAAGGCATCTGATGCTAGCCATTGTCTGGAGATTCCATCTTGAACCTTATCATCATTTCTGCTCTGTTTTACCATCCATCGGAGACTTATGCGGACATCCATTGACTCTGAACCCTGGAAGTATTCTCAAAGTCCATATTTATTTTGCAAAATTGGACAGTGCGACCGTTTTTCATCAACTGGTCATTACGGTGACCACTGTCAGCTAGTCCGACTGTCAATCTTTCTCTGAAGTGCTGGCCTTTCTTTGTCCATCCAGTGGCGCAATATGACGGCGAACACAAAGCGACATTTACTTTACAGGCTTAGCCAAAAGTCATCATTACTGTTGCTTAGGGACATTATTGACGATAACATTTTAATTAATGCATCGCCATCATAACTGCAGGTAGCATTGAGGCGAATCAATATTAGAAATAGTTTTCCGGGAACTTGTTGAAAATGGAAAAGGAGAAATGAACGTATACGGCTTATTGACTGGTAGTATGAACGACCAATCATTTCAAATAAGTCTTTCTGTATACAGAAAAGTACCCTAGCCAAAATCGGAATACAGAAACGTACCCTTGGACGATTCCATTCCGCAGTGTGTTGTTTTCTTGATTGGAACTGTCATACAGTTGAATTTGATGCATTCTATAACAAACGACCATACACGGTAACGAATATCTCACGGAGGACAATACTATTTGCAATCAGTTGAACGGGAACAACTACATACAGTTTCGGTTTTGGGTTGCGAAATATGGTGCAAAGTAAGGTGCCTGGTACGTTTCTGTATTTTGACATTGTTTAGGGTACATTACTGTATACAGAAACGTACCTGGGGTACATATCTGTAGTACCTGTGCCGACAACGACCCCTTCAGCAATCATATTGTGTCCGTATGTTTCATGTATCATATTTCACGAGGAACAGATCACCAGCTCACCGGTATCTACCTCGCTATGACTTGCGAATGACCGGTCGCTAGAATTGTGACCTTTCTATGACCCTGGCAATTCATTCCTGCAGCGGTTGGTGGAGGCGCAACAAGTCGATGCTTGTAAAATTAGGATTGGTGTTATCCGGTCGATAATTCAATACAAACGAACAAAGATTAAGAGCTACTGATTATTTCATTTGGTTCCATATCTCTCTACGAATACACACTAGAATATTGGCTCGGTGTTCTTTAATCAGTCTCTGGCATTTTATTTTTATGTTAACCACCACACTTACATGTATCAATATTTGAAAAAAATTCACTTATTTCGACTAGCGTTTGAAAATTAAATACATATATATTCCATCACTTAAACCGATTAAAACCGGCTTTAATAGGAAAGGGTCTACCAAACGTTATCGTACGTTGTACGTTTTCCTCATAAATTATATTTTCACTGTAACAATAGACAGTGTTAGTATTTACACAAGGGACTTATCCTTAACATTATTTACATTGTTCGTTTTAAAATGATGCAGAGGTCAAATAGTATAACACATCCGTATTTCTAGTTATCCTGCTGCTTGCTTCCTCTTCCTGACAGCAACAGAGATCCTATTTGGGACGTTTATGAAAATGACAATAAATATGTTATCGATTTAAGAACAAGGAAAATAGTTAAATATTCATATCTGATAATTTTTATGATAAAATTAAATTAACGCGCAACCGAAAAAGTCCCACCGACGTGTGTTGACAATGTAGCAAAAGGTATTGTTTCCTTCAGAGAAACAACAATGTTAACATGTCAGCACATTTCAATGACATAATTTCTTAACAGAAATTGAAGGTAGAAGAACTCAAACATTGAAGGTTATCTTATTATTTTATTACTTAAATATTTACTTTGCAGCCCATAAATTATTTTTGTATGAATGTTTAACATTTTAATTGTAATAATAATATCATTTTTACAGCTATATATATATTCATTGCAAGCAGGAAAAAAAGGTCTGTGCAGGAAAGAGGTTGTTTGTAACGCGGATCTCCAATTATCATGTTATCACCGCATTGTAGTAGGAAAGGAAAGTGTAAAAATGTCAAACTGATTTAACGATATAAATATTGTTGAATATCACGATTCAAAGCATTCAATCGAGAGCATCAACCTGGAAGGTCAGTTATGTTCATATAGTTGTGTATACATGTGTTTATATTGACGTGATTATCGCCAGCTAATCAGGTTGTTAATAATAAAAGTTAAAGTAAAGCTGTGGCGGTTTCGAAAACTGACCTTCCATTATGCGAGATTCTGATAAAGATGTTTCCGTGTTGTGCGAGATATACAGATTTTTTTGTGAGACTCAACCAATAGATTTTAAACTTCGAGTTCGATATGACAAGTTAGATAATCATCTGACAGTGATTAAAACTGATAATCTTAATCTCTAATTTGTGTACTAATTTATGTTCTCTTTAAAACGTAGATGAAATTTTGAAATTTAAGTGAATTATATATAATCACAAAAACATAAATCATCCATTTTCATGTTCACCAACCAGTTCATCAACTATAATCATTATCGGAATCTTTTAGTAATAAACAATCATGGAATTCTGATCACAATACTATGACCTCCTTGGCTATGGAAACCCATAACCCCACCTCCTCGATTCCGTATGGTGCTCTGTAAATAATATTGTCGCGAGATTTCCAAAGTTAGAGTAACCTCCCTTTTCTCTCTGGAGCGATTTTTAAATTTCAGGTTCGTTATTTTATGATGCATACGTAATCCTGTTGTTTGTTAACATGAGAGAATGATGGTGATAATTAGCATGTTTCAGTTATGATGTACGTTATGTAAGAGACATTATTCGTATGGTACTCCCAAATGAACAATTTGTGAAATATGTTTTTGTGACAAAAACATATCATCGCGGGTGCCAACAGTCCGCTGTTATGTTCGAGTGAGTTCCATTCAAGTGTAAACGTTACGTATATTTAATAAATGTGATGATGTACCTTTACTTTAAGTTACAAAGTCATTAATCTGAAGGAATATCATCAGTTTGTACGTCAAGTTAAACCAGTGTCGTCATTCAAATGATGAACTTTCGAAAAGTGTGGTGTCGCTGACGAAAAGATGATTTCTTTTTTAGTAACTCATATATTTTAAGAAAGGAAGTATTAATTTAATACAACGGGGAAGGAATGTAATGCTTCAACATATATTGTAAAACATATTATTTAAGTTTAAATGTCTGAAAACACCCCCTTCACAGATGTTGTCATATTTGCAATGTACATGTGTGACTGTTATCATTTGCCAACTCTGCTAGGTTCATCATGCATACCAGCGAAGATGTTTAAAAAGAAGCATGGATCAATGGTTTTCATACACACTATATCAGTATTTTATACAATATCGCTGTTTGAGTCTCTCGAAGCGAAAAACCGTAAAAAGTGGCAATTCAATAGAATGTTGGTTGCTATTTTATTGTGACAGTGGTAATATTAGCACGTGAAACCTAGGTAAAATGGCAGACTGAGCGTTGATCAATATGATGCTACACATAAACTGGGTTTAGCCGACTCTCCCATCCCTTATATTTATATAAACATACAGAGATTGCTTGAAACATAATATTTAGTTGAATTAGACACTTTTTGAACAGTCACTAACGTATTCGCTGAGTTCGCTGTAATTCCATTTCTGTTGACATAGAAATTATTAAGTTTTAAGTATTCGTTGAACTGTTACGATTAGTCATGTCCGAAGCAAATTCGAAGCTGGACAGATGGTATTTTTTATTTGTCTTCGCTGAATGTGAACATTGTGAAGGGCTTCGAAATAGGCGTTCGAGGCACTGTTTTTGTTCTTTTACAGGCGCTTCATATAGTTGAACTTGCGGTACAATGATATGCGTGGACGATATTTCCTTGTCAGCATTTTTTCTTTCTGAACGATATTTCCATATTTTGAACGGAGTTAAATCGTGAAATATCCACTCGTTTCTGTCGTTAAGATAAGATAATAGTGTGACATAAAATCTGAATAATATCAGCACGGTAATTGTATATGCACTTGGACATAGAAATGTGTAGTCCTTATTTAACTGTTTCATTCAGTATGATTTTCTTTTTACAGATATGTCCCAGAGCGAGATGAGAGCCCTTTCCGACCTTCAGCACCCACCATGAGAGCTGAGGTCGCCATGACGACTTGAAAAATACGTCACCTTTCAATGACGAACAGAGTATGCCACCACCCTGTTGTTGTAACGACTGATGAGGTATGTATATATGTAACTCGTCGTGTGATGACAGAAATACTGTTAAAAGCAATGCTCATCTACAGTCGCTCACGACACAACGAAAGCAAATAAAGCGCAGGCACCGAACTTTCAACAACCAGCACAGTAGTCAAAGGGAGATAACTCTGGATGGCGTCGCGGACTCGATGACCAATAGTGATTTTTAGCTGTTTAGGGATGCAAACCTATTTCTGTAAACCGAATCAAACGAATTTACAGGATTATTTTGTTATATTCACAAAACTGTTTGTGCCAACAGTTAATTATAGCCTTGTTGCATGGCGCTTATCAAGTCCGCTAATCCGAGCAACGTTATACACTTAATCCTAGATAAAACCGTACAAGGCGCTCATTTAGTTAAAATGGAGCAGTTGGAACAACGATGATATTTGTTTGTTTGCTGTTGTTTTGTTTTGTTTGTTTTATAGTATTTATACTTTTCTGGGGAATGGGGTGAGGTGGGGTCAACTCTACTGAATGTATATATTCATCAAGTTAATTTTACTTTATCATGCTTTAACATCGATGTACTAATATCGAGTTATACCTGAAGCTATGTTGTTATTTCATAAAATTGGAAAACATACCATCACTTTTATTATATACGGTTCAGATTTGAATAGACTAACAACTAGTCTCTGAAATGAATATATTTTACAGAAAAAAACAGTCATAATAAAAAAAAAAATATAAATATTAATGAAAAGGAGCCCTGAGACTTTCTTCATTTTCTGAAACTGTGGAAATCTAGACTTGCCACATAAGCTAGACTTGCATGGGCTTTCTTGGATATATATGTTTCAGGGTCTAGCGCGCATTCTATGCTCTAACTATCAAGGTTTTGTAAACGAAAAGCACGAAGACGTTTTCACTTAAAGTCATTTTAATGTGTCAACCGAGCGTAAATTGAGAAACATTCTTCTCAACCGTGTTTTAAGATGACGACAATTCTCAACATTTTATGCTCCACTACGTGATGTAAAATAATCTGTACTATTTTGACTTACTCTAAGCGTGTTTGACGAATTTCCACTTGAGAGTTTTCTATGAATTAGAGTCTGATTGCAGATTCACTCATGTATTAAACTATCATTAACATTTTCTGGACCTTTGAGGCGCCGGCAAGATTAGCTGTTGTCCAAATTCGTGTGGAACCTGTTTGAGGTATCGATTTAAGCTGGTTGGTGTCCCACCTGACTCAACGTGGACCACTCCACCTTTCACCTTAATACAGCATTATTACAATATATATATCTATAATACGTTTATATTCTGTGTGTTGAAACACAGCAGTTCTACCACAAACCCATGCGTACGCCCCTTACGTGTATTGAGCGAGCAATACAAGGAATGTGATCTACATTCACAAATAGTGACAAAATAAATGACAAAGACTGTCAGAAAATGATTTGTAAATGTTTTAAATCAACTACGTCTTGTAAGTGAATACTTAGAAACTATATCATCAGAGTGCTTGCTCAAGTCCTTGGTAGTTGGAGTGAGTGAGTTTAGTTTTACACCGCTTTAGCAATATTCCGGCAATATCACGGCGGGGACACCAGAAAGCTTCGTCAGGTGAAGTCACAAGAAGTGCACAATGCAAGAAGTAATCATGAAACGAGTCAGAGCAGACCAAGAAGTTGTTGACCAAAACGGTTTGGTGTTTTTGGTGGTCTTGCTGTTCTGAAGTACATCTTAGCTTTGCGTGTGCTCTCTTGAACGAATACTTTTGCTATATTTCGCCAGCATGACGCCTGCATATTCTATAGCCGAAAATGTGTTCTCAAAATTATTTAGGAATCTGGTTTTCAGTTCGATCAGTTCACCTCCAGTGCTGACAGTCATGTACACAGTCGATTTGTCATGGCGACAAGGATCAAACACGTTTTTCAACCTTCTAATAGTGAACAGAAATATTCTTTTATATCCCAAATAATTGGACAAATAAACGGGCTTTTATACCACTGTTTACGGCAACGTTAAAACTGCTGACACTGCGATTTCTATGAGGGCATAACCCCTATATCGCCCAAGGAGGTAAAGATTTGTATGCGGACTCCTGACTAATGGTGCGAAGTCACTTTGGTTCTGCCATAAAGCACTCGCCCAGAACTACAAGTAATTGTGTTTGAAATGGGGTGGCCGTACGTCCTTTATATTGATATTAGATAGAGGTGTCAAGATATTTCTTTCAAAGCCAAATTACCCCTGGTCACTTTTGGTCACTAGGTCGGGTCGTAGGGTCAAGCTGTTCATGACTGAAACTTATTTTCTGAATTCTCTGCTCACGTTTTTTTCCTCTTCACTGATCACGAACTTTGAATTTGCATATGCATTTTCACAGTCACATTCTTAATATCCATTATTACAGTCTGTTAACAACTGAAAAAGCATATATTGGTTACAGAATACACTAAAGTTATTAGTATTTAGATGAATGTAATAGTTTGTAGGGCAAGCGGTTGTCTTAACATACATTGGTTCTGCAGTATGTGTTTGATGGGTTATTAGTAATCCTATAGTATTTGTGGGCGTGTGGTTTGGAGTAGGTTCTAAATCGTCTTAGCTGGGGTCTAGTGTTGTACTGCGTCCTATTTACCCCACTTTCCATGTTTGAAATGAATGTGATGTAATGTAAAAGACATTTGGATGAGATGGAAACTGGAGGGTCTCACTATCCCGTGATGCTTTAACTGAAATACTTCATGACACGAGGAACAAGCATTTAGTCTCCACGTGGGCCTTGTTGCATTCCCTTCTGTACGTTATACATATCATGCATACCAAATGTCACATCATGCATACCTTCCAGTTATATCAACACACATGTGGCACATACGTACACACTTAGACTTGAACATGTGTACATATAGACATTCACAAAAGCAGATGAAGACATTTGCACATATACACGCTGCACAAACATGCGCTCATTCATACATGCTTGTTTACGAACAATACATTGCCCCATTCCACTCCAAGGAAAGATGCCTGTATTTTCCATGCAGACCTATCTACGCTGCTTCAAGTAAGGCACAAAACTGTCGAAAATCAATGACATTTCAAAATGTACTTTGGACCTGCATGATATCAGTTCAAATCAACCGACAGGTATAAAAAACACGTGTACACACATGCACACGCGCGCACATACACACACAAACACATACATGCTCATAATAAAACACATATTCAAACACGATCTCACACATATTCACACATAGATATGGACACACGGAGTGGTTATGTAACCACACAACAACGTTAATATAGTAACTAGAAAAGGTTTTAAGTCCAACTTAAGTTATTTCTTCAATCGTTCATAGTGCTGAATATACACCATGGAGCTGCCATCCCTACATGAATAAAGACGGTGTAGTGGAATAACCTTGCCTGACCCCACAACCACCTACCCGTATTGCTGGGGTAGCATACCCTGACGCGGCGAATGCCCCACCCATGACTCGACTCACATTACGGCATTTCGTGTGACGGTGATCGATCTTGTTCTACCCTGGCCCTGAATACACAAAATACTATATCCCATCTCAACGTTGTGTAAACATGGAATCTTAAAATTGTTTGTCTAGAATTTGCGGGTAGGAAGGTGGGATCAGATGGGTTACATCACTCCCCAAATGCACTTGCATAACGACTGAACAGTTTTAAGTTTGGGCTTGCTGAAATTTCACGAGTGACACGTTAGAGGTGTCAGAATAAGATTTTTCTGTCAAATAAAATAAGTTCAATGCAAGTGTATGTATAAATACATAAACATTAAGTCGTTGAATGAATAAGGCGATTTATGAGAGTTTTACCTTTTCTTCAATGAAGATGAAGGTATTCGTAAACTAACAAGACATTCAAATAAAAACATCAACAGCAATTGTTTTAAAATTGTATTCTCTTTACTCATGGATTATGTTCATTGTGCAATTCTTAATCATACACTGCATGCATCCTACTTATATTGTACATATTAGTTAATGTCTTACATCCAACGAAAGTCTTTTTAAACTTTTGAATCTATTTGAAATATTGGTATCACTTGATATTGTTTCAAATGATTTAGTCCTAAAATTTAGGTAAAGCTTTGCTGAAATGATGTCAGGTGAATGGCGTTATGGCGAGATGGTATGATTACAGATTTAAAGAATCAGGGCGTATTTCTTTGCATGAAAGAAGGGTAGCCAAGCAAACAGGAATATATCGCATGACAGCTATCTTAAGCTTACGCAGTCAACTCGAGAAATAGCATTTGCATTCAGAGAACCTAGTAATTACCGAGCACGATTACCCGGGACCATTACTGATGAATACTGGCATCCTGTTCAACCATCTGTTCACAACACCCACTTGGAGGTTTTCTCAGTAGTCCGCGTCTTTGATTTAGTTTGGTTATATTTTCGTTTTCGTTTTCTTTTTAATTTGTTACTGAATTTACGATATGTTTGAGAATATACCGTTGCCCAGTTTCATTATTTCACACAGCTGTTGTATCAATGCATCGAGTATACAATTTACGTTACGATGATGCAATAAATGGCGTCGTTGTGTTTAGAAAGGATTTAAAAACAATGTTGACATATTTAGACAATACAAGCGTGGCATTTGAATATATCTGTTCCGCTTTGTATAATCTACGTGTAAAATTTGACGAGTCGAAATCATACATAGAGCATCTGAATGTTCGTTTTCAATATTCCGTCGCTAGTCATGACCTAGCTACGATTGAAGATAAAACCACTTTCCTTTTTTCGAGCGGTGAGTTATCTGGAGGTATGGGGTAACTATGCATTGACCTCTGTAGAGATGTAAGTATTTCTGTGTCTCAAAACGGCAGACGACAGTTTGAAGTGGTCATGTGACTGTATCATGTGACTTGGTAAGTTTGAGTCAATAAGCTCCCGGGTCTCCATAGCGACCATTAATAACAATAGGAGCACGAGTATGTTTAAGAATGCTAAAAAGTAGCGTCG